ATATTGGGAGATTCTTGATAATTATGGAGTTCTTGATGATTATATGGAGTTCTTGATGATTATGTGTTGTTCCTGATAATTGTGTGACGTTCTTGATGCTTATGAGTTATTCTTACCGAATCTTGCAATTAGAAGACAAATCGTATTCTTGTTGATATAAAAGTGATTAGAACCCTAGGTTGTATCGTATGATATCATTCTTGGATTATCGGGTGGGGAAATCGCATGTTTGGGTGTTGATTATATTTAGAAAAGCATGATAGGTTATGTGCCGTTCGTTTCTCGTATTTGATCCGTTAATTGTCCACGTGTTGTCATTAATTGCGTTGTAAAGTGTCTGAGCATGGTTTCGGGTTCCACAGCGGTTCCCGGGACGAAAAGTGGTGAAAAGAGTCAGTGGGGGGTAGGTGGGGGTAGGGGACCCGCCACCTACCCGTGGCGTTCTCGGGCAGCCCGGCAGCGGGCAGCCGGCGGGCGGGCAGCTGCCCGGAACAGTGGCAGCCGGCGGGCAGCCGGCGGGTGGACCACTACCCACCGGCTACCCGCTGGAATTTGTCCCCACTCGGGACCCCGGCTTCCCCGTTTGATGTTTCCCCGATCCCCGTGGTTTCCCAACGGACCCCGCTTGTCATGCCTATGTCTAGTTTGATGCTTCGGGCACCGTTCGTAGGTTTATGAGTCTATTATATTGCATGCTAGTTGAATTGGTATCCCGTTGACCTAGGTGGAAGAAGTATGAACCCCTTAGGACTATTCTTAGTATGTGATGGATCACGCATAGGTTTTGTTATACGCTTTCGTCCCCTTCCCAACGTGTAATGTGGGTTGCATGTGCTTGCTACGTGTTATGTGTGCGTGTTGCCCAATTCGGTTGCGATCGGATTGGTTATCCTGAGCTGCGGTTCAGAAGCCGGCTACAGTCAGATGGGAATTCCTGGCTATAGTCGGATGACGGCATCCTGGGCTGCGGTCCAGAAGCTGGTTGTAGTCAGATGGGAATTCCTGGCTGCAATCAGGTGACATCTTTCCTGAGCTGCGGTTCAGAGGCTGGCTGTAGTCAGATGGGAATTCCTGGCTACAGTCAGACAATACACTCTCTTGGGCTGCGGTCCACTGTTTGGTTGCGATCAAACATTATGATGAGCTGCGGTTCATCGGTCGTTTGCGATCGACCCCTCCGTGTTGCGATACGGGGCAGGGTGCTGCGGGGCCGTGTCAGAGCTATATGCGCTGACCCTCATGTATGGGCATGCGATTGGTCCTGTGGCGCCAACAAAGTGTGCTATGTGTTGTGATATGGATGAGCTGTGATTATGAATGTCTTGGAGAAATGTGACTGTGGGATTTATGTTGGGGATTGATTATGATGGGTGGTGATCATTGTTTATGCCTTGCCTTATCTGCCTTATCTATTGTGAACTGCATATGACTGTTATAACTGTTGCTTGTGTCTGGCCTTATCTGTCGAGTCATTCCCGGTTTTAAAAGCTAGAGTTCGTAGGATATATCTTCATGCTCAAAATGGTTTTCGTATATCTATATATATCTCTATATGTATTGTATTTCAACGCGTTGGTGTGGGTTACCAGCATCTCTCGCTGAACAGATATATTTGGCTTTCAGGCACAGAGGATTAGAGCACTGGAGCGCGCTAGAACTGGAGCGTAGAAGTAGTATAGTTTCCCTTTTTGGCCTGCATGCCATGTTATGCATTTATATTTCAGGGGATAGTAGTTAGATAGCCTGTGCACCTGGGTTCTCTAGCCCAGGTGTGGCATAGCACCCCGCACACTTATGTTACACTCTGGGATTTAATGAGATATTACCTTTGTTATTAAGTTTTAAATGTCTTGAAAATCAGGGGTGTTACACCCGCCCGCCGTTCCGCCCGCGGGTACGTCCCTGTACCACAACAAATACCTTCGGGGATTTTCTCCTCCAAACACAAATACAAGTCCAAAACATGCCAAATCTCACCAAACACAACAAAATGACTTGAACCAAGGAAAATGCCAAGCAATGGCACAAAGGAATCCTAAACATATGCTCTAGATATGCAATATCACAAGATAAATGCATAAACTCTCACATTTCATAGCAAAACACAAGTAGAAGCCAAGAAATCATATATAGGTAAGCAAAATAGGTTTTGTAGAGTATGGGTTACCTCTTGAAGACCAAAAGACTCTTCTTACACCACAACAAGCTCTCCACTAAGCTCACAAGCCAAACCCACTTCAAGATCAAACCAAAAGATCATAAAGATCCCACCTTTAAGAAAAAGACAACTATGATGGAACCAAAAAGATTAGACAAGCTAAGATCTTACCCTTCTAGATGCCCAAATAGGTGAAAGATTGAATCTTGGAAGCAAAACTTGGAATCTTGACAAAGGTCTCTCTTGGCATGAAGAACAAACTACTCTTCTATTCTAGAGAGAAGGTAGAGATATTTTCTAGGAATTGTATGGGATGAAGAATGAAGAAGTCTTCTAGGTTTAGGTTTGTTGGTCCCGATAGAATGAGATGAGAGTCTAGAGGGGGGGGGGGGGTGAATAGACTCTTTTCGTTAGAAGCCCTAAACGTCACCTTTCGGTGTCTTGGCGCAGCGGATAAGATAGATTCGTTTTAGATACTTTGCATGAGTTTGCGTAATTAGACAAACTTTCGGGAACGATGATAAATAAAATGATATGAATGCAAAAAGGAAAAGAGTAAGTAGAGAGATAGAGGGGACAAGAGATTTTATTGTGGTTCGGCCAATGTTGCCTACTCCACTCTTCTTCCACAACTGTTGGAAGGATTGCACTATCACTCTTAGTACAAATACACAAAGACTTCCTTGATCACTAAGCCGGACAGCCTTCGTAGGTTTTTCAACTCCTCGAGTTTACTCCGCTTCTATCAACTTCTTCTCCTGAGTTGAGGTTGGTAGAAAATGATTTCTTGAATTCTCCAACGATGAGATCTTGACTCTGAGGGATGATTGCTTTAAACAGATGGCAAGACTTCCTTTGAGGTGTAAGAAAATGATCAATAATCTTCTTCAAGAACTTAGCACCTCAAAACTGGTTCGCAAAAGCTTTTAGTAAATTGTAGGCTTTTTCAAGAGCTTTTGTAAGAGAGTAAGTCGAGTGAGAATGAACCAACACCTTCTTAGTTGATGAAGGTGGGTTTATATAGGTGATGAAAATTCATCCGTTGGAGGGAGATGAAATTTTCGAACCTTTTAACCATTGGACAAGGACCGGGGAGCTATATGCATTAAATGCTCCATTAATGAGGTTGTACCATGTAGCCGTTAAAGGTATGGAAAACATTAGGGTTTTGTCCTTTAGCTCCAAGAGATGGTACATCTTCATTTAATGCTTCTTGAAAAGTGTGTCCCATAAGATGAAGTCCTTATTGTCCTAGGATGTTGTCAAATCAGACAGGTAGAACATTCTTCTCGTTGTTGAAGAGAAGTAATGCTTGATAAGGATCGTCTTTTAACAAAACTGTCCTTTCGTGTTTGTTGACAACTTGTTCTTGACTCTCGTTGTTGTTCTTCATGTCTCAAGTCTTCTTTCGCCTTGGAGACCCTAATATCTAGTCATAACTCATTTTCGTGTGTTTGTCTAGCTTAACACGAATTACAGAGGAGTTATGGCAACTCTCGTCTAGGACGAAAGCAGCGATTGAAAAAGCTAATAGTTAGGGGTCTACTTTTCTACATTACATTGGTATCATCAAAATCCTAATATATAGTTCCTAACAATTTCCCCCTTTTTGATGATGCCAAAACCTATACTCTTCTTATACGGCTGATAAAAGTTCCATAAGGATTTTTTATTATAAAAACAGCCATACTTGAGAGTTTACAAGTCTTTTTCTAGATCGAAGCGTTAATAAGAAAGACAAGGACAAATAACTCAGACAAGTGACACGAGATGTGTGACAATGAGAGTTTCATATATAAAGATGTGATCATTACAAAAACTCTACGAAGAAAACAAAACGAAAGATAACTTACATTTCTAAAAGCTTTGATTTCTGTTGTTCAGCTTCCTTGAGTTCTTGGTCATCCTTTTCCTTTTGTTGCTTTAGCATCCTGTTGAAGTCAATTTTCTCATTGATTTTTGCTCTGAAAACTTTAATAGGATTAGTCCTGACAAGCTCTTCATGTTCTCCTTTGATGTTCATACCAGTGTAATTATTGTAGGCTTCCCGAATGTTGCTTCCTTCAACAATTCCATACTTCCACCACGATATCAGTCCAAACGAATTCATGCCTTCTTGGTAGCTCTTTCCTGATTCCTTGTGCACTTTGAAAGCTGCATTGTGCATGACATTTTGTGGGGAGTCTTTGGTTACATTAGAAAGGTCTTCAATGAGATTCCTGATCCTTTCTCTTTCCATTGCTTCATCTTCTCTTCTCTTTCTTTCTTCATCGTGCTTCCTCCATAGTTCTTTGTTTGCTCTTTTGATTCTCTCATTTTGAGTGCTCATGTGATTTTGTCTTGTATAATTGTCTTTTGTTTTCAACCAAATAGGATTATTGCAACCCTCAAAACGTTTGCCACTGCCTTCTTCATATGGGACGAAGTCTACAAAGTTTCCTATGCCATCCATAATTACTTTGTTGTCTCTCATAAGTTTCTTCCTTAATTTTGTCTGTTCTCTCTTTGGCAGTCCTGTGAAGATGTATTTGGCTTCAGAACCAAATCATTGTCGAGGCTTAATTTGTTTGGAGGATTGGTATCGACCATGATATCTTTGCTTCGAGGAGTGGTAACCACGAGACTTGGAAGGTGGATGAGATGGATTCGTGTTCCTTTGGTCATAGTCTCTTGGTGTCCGAGAGGGAGAGTGTCGTGTTTCAAGAGCTTGATCTTTCGTGTTATCTCTCGGCTGATCATCATCCTTATCTTTGTCATCATTTCTCTTTTCCCCCTTTTTGGCATCATGAGCACAGGTGGTAGGAGGAATGGAGGAGGCCTTGTTGATTGCAAGTAAGATATCCTAAGCGTACCCGAGAATTTGAAGTGCATATTCTCCCAGTTGGTACGAATTGTCCTGATATGTGTCAATCTTTGTACAGGCCAAATCCACACGCTCTTTGAGACCAAAATGAGAGTGTTTGATTTCGTGCTGTTGTCGCGCAACTTTGTTCAAAGAAGCTTCGAGATCATAAAGTTTCTTTGTCATTCTCTCAAGGATCTTGTGATCTGATTGGCTTTGTTGCTGCGGTTGAGGCTGTGCAGGAGGTGGAGATCGAGGTTGAGATTGTGCTGCTATCGGAGAATCGACCTTCTTGCACAGATCATCCATAACTTTCGTGTCCTTTTCTCGTAAAGCAAGATATTGCATATGGATGGTCTCGGCTGAATGAACAGTTCCTCTCATGATGTTCATGATAGTCCGTGGGGACTCTGCAGGGGATTCTTCCTCAATGTTTGTTGGTGATGTGTCCATGTGATCATCTTGAGGTGGTGCTTCCCGTTTTCCACCACTAGCTGAGCTAAGAAGAATTGGTGAGGCTTCCAGTTTGCCCTCACGCATACTTTCGTTTCCTTGCTTGATTGGAGTCTCGTCTATGGGTTGGATATGCGGAACAATGGCACGAGATAGATCTTCGAGATGAGAAGTTGAAACTTCTTCCGAGTCATCACTGTCAGATGGTAATTTTCTTAAGGGAGATCTTTGAGGATAGGTGTCATAGTCAGGACCGATAAAGAATGTATGACTGTCTTCAGGGTCGGTTTCTTGAGCACCTTCATTTCCCAACTGATCATCATTATCACCATCGTCATCATCATCATCATTCTCATCATCAGCATCGTCAACATTATCATCATTGTTATCATCTTCATCTTCGTCTTCATTTTCAGCACTTTCGTCTTCTTCAATTTCTCGGCCAAGTTCATCTTTCGTGCCACTAACATTACAATTTGGATCATTTTGGTGTTCCTTCTCTAAAGCAATTTTGATCTTTGATAGCAACATGGCATATCGAAGTTGTTTCATTTCTTCTTCATAAACTGGATCCAAGGGTGGCTTGTTAAGCTCGATGCAGATTGGAGCTTTATCTCTCCCGAGAGTGCGATTTGTCATCTTGTAAGATTAAACGCGATTGATTTCTTCAATTCGAAGAGCTTTTGAAACGTCATCAGTGCCAATCCACTCAAGTGCAAAGATTTCTTCGTCCTACATTGCTTCAAAAGTTTCAAGAAAGGTCCGTAGGGGAGCAGTGCGCCACTTTTGCCACTGCAGAACTCGTGTGTAATCCCTTTCAATGGATTCTCTAAGCAATTGATCTCGTGAACGACGAGAAGCCTTCACTTCAGGAGCTGGAGCTGAAGGTTTCGGTATATCCGGAGAAGTTACATGGACAACGGCTGTCTCGTTTACCAACACAGGTTCTTGTGTCAGAATTACCTGCTCTGTATTGGTAGGTTCTTGTGGCAAACAAGGCACAGCGATCAGAGCATCAGTCGCCTCTTTCGTCTTTTCTGCTGACCCAGGTTCTTGTGGAAGACTTAAGCGACTGGCCTCCATGTCTACATTAGCAGGTTCTTGTGTCAGCTCTCGAAGGAGTTGATCTGCCAAAGTAGGTTCTTGTGGATGGTGGTCTTGAGGAGAACCGAGATCGGACTTGGGTTCTTGATCATCAGAAATTTTCTCAGGAAGAACATCTTTCGGTTGAGCTTCCCCCTCAGAAAGTGCTTCATTCGTGATTATTTCCTCCTGTGGGGATGCATCTTTTGTGTCTTCTTCTTTCGGTGTAGAAGATTCCTTCGGGAAAGATTTCGCCTTGACGGGAGACCAAAAGTGACTCTTTTTGATGATTCTGGAGAGAATCAGATTATCTTCGTCTTCGGATGAATCTTTGACAACGATTGTTTCTGGTAGAGGGGAGGGTGAAATTGGATCTTTCTTCTCTTGTGGAGATTTTGAAGGGATTGGAACAGCTAAAGTTTCTTCTGCTATTTTCGCCTTACTCCGAGAGGAGTGCTTTTCTCGTTTTTGTCGTTTCGGCTTGGGTTGATCATCTTCTGAAACCCTAGGTGTTCTTGATTTCCTCTTGGCTTTGACTTGCTCAATAGGGATTCCCAACTCCAATGCCTTCTGCTTGTCATATCCGGATGGTTTTTGTTTCATGTGACATGCTTTCTGTCCAGGTCGAATTCCTGGGCGCAGAACGACTCCTTTCGTTGCCAGAAGATGGCTTATCACAAAACCATATCCTAATTTCTTTGCAATGTCTCCTGGACTCTTCCGATGAAAGGTGATGGTGTGAACAATGTTGTTGAATATGATCTTCGACCAATTGACTTTAAATCCATTCAAGAAGGCATGCAGCATTTTCAACTTCTCCTTCGTCACATCATCAGTGCCCGAGGTCTTGTGATCGACGAGTTTATTAAAGATATCAACAGTGAACTCATAATCTATCCGGAACCATTTCTTCTTCAACGGCCATGTGAACTCATAATATCTGACTTGTAGGACTCATCTCTCTGTGGGAACCCGTATGTTGATCGAACGTCCTCCGAGGTAATGACCACATGATGATTATTGACTCTGGAAGTGATAGTCAGATAATCAGAAGATATTGAAGCATTCATATAGAACTGGGTTACATCAATTGGGTACCAAACAGTATAAAGATGTGTGATGAAGCCATATAATCCTGTTTCTGTGAGTAGATGTATGATGTTTTCACCAAATTTTCTATCCAAGATATACTCAAGGAATCCATGCGCGTCCCACATACTTCCCCCTACGATGAAGGGTACTCTGGATTCAATGAATCTCAGGTCCTCAGTTGGAAAACTTGGGACGACCAGGCTGGAAGGAGTTTCTGGTTCTGGATTAGATGGTGATGCTTGTGGATGTTCTGCCATAGTTGAGGATTCGAGAGAGACAGAGGGTTATGAAGAAAAGTGTGAGAAAGGTAGGGTAAAAAGATCAAGAAGGTTTAAGAAGGGTTTTATAGAACTCCGGGTATCCGGGTATGGATGACCCATTTAGAGATGAATTGTTTAAAATTCAAAACACTCCTGGTTCTTCTTCTCCAAAAAGGTAACTGATCAACGTGGGGGAGTGATAAGATCATGTGCAGATCAAAAACGATCATTCCCTCATTTAATGAGGTGAGAGAAAATCACTTGAGTGCTTATGGGTGCATTAAATGCACGTCACATCATGTATCAGACAGAGTGGGGGAGTGAAGAAATCATCTAAACGGTTGGAAATAAAGGCTAAAAGCATTAAGCATATTTAGGCATGATTCCAAACCCGAAAGAAGATAGAGTGTTCATAACATAAGACTTGTGAGACAAATAAAGTCAAACAGGTCCTTTTTATGATGTTATCACATCTGTGCTTGTTTTTATGGTTATTTTGAATCATCACAGTAATTAAACTCTTTAATTTTGCTTATTTAATACATGTTTTCCTTGCTATTATCATTTAATTATGGTTCACACTTGTTTTGAATATTTTACGGTGTTCGTTAGTGTTTTTGAACCATTTTAGGTCAAAGATATGACCAAGGGGAGTTCAAGGATGAGTTTGGAGAAATTTTGGATGAGTTCGGGGCCCAGTGGAATCGACGCGTCGAGCCAAGGGCTCGACACGTCGAAATTTTCCAGTAGCTAATTAATTCGCACACAGGAAGTCTCGACGCGTCGAATATGCGTCTGTTTCTGGGATAAAAACAGACGCCTAAAGTGGCGCGGATAAAAAACAGACGCTTAAAGTGGCGCAGCTGGGCAAAATTCAATACAAGCGCGAGATCTCTTTTCCTAATATCAATTGCGCGGATTTCAAGGCTCATATCTCCTTATTAAAAGTTAGCAATTCAAGGAATCTTCCAAATTCTAAATATCATTAAAGACGACAATTTCTTTATTTAAATATACGAATTAGAATTTGAGTCCAATTTGGTACAAGATTCCTATTTCATCTCAACTTTGTACCCACTATAAAATCCCTCCTTCCTCAACCCTAATAACGAGGACCGAGACCGAGAGAATTCAGAGATTCTTGGAGACAAGAAGGAGAGAAATCAAGAGCCACAAGTTGTCTTGGAAAGCAAGAAGAAGACTAGGGAGATTTGGGAAAATCGTTTGGTTAATTCTTGTACTCTTTTGATGATTTGTAATTCTTTATTTATATTTGCTATGTATAATTTAGTCATGCTTGGCTAAATTCTTTAGAGATTCTTGGGTAAAAGTGTTTATGAACCTATGTGCCTGAGCTCTCAGTTTCTTTAATATATTATTATTTGGGTTTAATACTTGTGTTGCAATCGTGATAATATTGTTTGATGCATGTAATTAATGGCCATAGTTACTAACTTCATAGCCATGTTTGTGTCACCAATGGGAGTTGGGGCATAAATTAGGGCACACACGATTGCACCTAATGGTTGGTCCTTGGGAAAGGGGAACTTATTAGGGGAAGTTTATTCTAGATTGTTGCCAATCGGGAGATGGTAGTAATTAGGAATAATTGAATGCTGATCTTTGATCTTATTGGGTGTTTAAGCCATGGGAGTGGAAATTCACTAGGAATAGAGATTGCGGGAGTAATTCGATTCCACTTTGCATTCCCACACAAATCTTAATTCCAAACTAAATATTGCAAACGATAATTGGCACTAGGTGATTAAATACTTGAATCCCATGAATCTCAACTTCTCTCTAATTGTTTTCAAAATCCTGAACCTCTGTTTTATTTTATTTATTTTATGCCAATCAATCATCTAAGTAATTGTTAGGATTAGCTCTAATGAATAAGTTAGTAACTAGTGCTTGATACAACCACTTCCCTGTGGATTGATAACTCGTACTCCGAGAATTATTTGTTTGCAAATATACTACGCATCAAATTGGCGCCGTTGCCGGGGAAGTGGCGTTTCTAGTATTAACATTAGTGAAATCTTTATTCTAGGAGACTAGTCCATTTTTATTTTTTTATTTTATTTTGTTTTGCTAACCCATAACAAGTTCATTGTTTTGAGTGTGATTTAGTTTATGGATAGATATGCATTCCAAGGAACCATGCCACCGTTTTACCCTCCTTCTCAAGGTTATGAGATGAGTTGGAATATGAATCTAGAATATGGAGGAATGGAACAACAATTCCCTTTCTCAAATTTTGTCAACTCTAGTCAAGGATATTATCAAGAAAGTTCATATCAAACATCACAACCCCAATGGTGCTCATTTTGTGGTGGGAATCACTTTGTGGAAAATTGTTACATGCTCAACCCCACCAACCATATCCATCAACAATCTACTCTAGGATTTTGTGCCAACATGAGTCAAGCTACTTATCAAAGATGCACACCACCTACTCCACAACCCTCACGGTGCATGATATGTGGTGGATCTCATGAGGCGGAAAATTGCTTTATCATGGATCCCAATTACAGGTATCAAGGGCGAGCTCAAGAGTTGCCGTACCAAGAGTTTCAACAAGATTGTCAATCACTTGACCAAATAATTGAGATGAAGTCCAAAGAGACCAAGGTAATGCAATTGTGCTCGAAATATCTGGAGTTACAAGATCACATGAAGGCTCAACTTGATCGCATGAATGCTCGACTCAATCACATGATGGCTCGACAGCAAGATTTGACAATTCAAGAGCCACTTCAAGATTCATTTAATGGAGAGGTTCTAGAAGAGTTGCTCTTGCCAAATGAAGGTCATGAAGTTGAGAGAAATAAAAAGGATGATGAGGATCTTAGAAAGGAAGATGAAGAAATATTTGATAAAGGCATTGAGATGGAGACACCAAGCTGGGAGGAAAATGTAGAGTTGCAAGGTAATGATGGCAAGGAACATATAGAGAGTTGCCCATTAGATGAGGAAGTTCTCAATAGAGCACATGATTTGAATGAGGATGTCTCACCAATGGAGAACACTTCCCTTGGAGAGAACTTCAGAGAAATTTTGAATTTGGGAGGCATTGGAGTTCTTAAGGATAATGGCACACATTTGCCTATCTATATATCCAATGATTCCCAATACTTGCTGGTTCATGTGAATGATCCGAGACTCTCATTACTTGTTGAACAAAAGAGTGTTGAAAAAGAAGGA